CTCAGTCCTGGGAGGCGAAAGCTTGCTCCCGCAGACGCTTCATTGCTGAGGATGGGTGATGGATGCAGCTGAGCCCTGGGGTGCCCCTCCCCATTCAGCTCTGCCTCCCTTTCCCTACAGTCCAGCCTGGGCATCCAGGGCCAGACGTACTTGCCTTCCTGCAGGGCGGCTGCGCTGTACGCCTCAAAGTCCAACGGCCCTGAGACAGAAGGGATTGGGACACTCAGCAGAGAGGGCGCCTGGGCCCCAGGAGGGTAGCCCCTGGCCACACACGCACCCGTCCCGGAGCTGGTCCTGAGGGGATGGGCCAAGGCTTCTGCTCCCACCTTGGGACGGACTGGGGGGAGGGGTGATGCCTGAGTCATTTCTACGTCCAGCTTTTCTGGATGGACCTTGGGTGGGTCAGGGATGGACCACAAGTCTATGCAATGGGCTGGGCTGCAAGTGCCAGGGAGAGGAGCTGGGACTCTCCTCAGGGAGATGGGGAGCCAGGGAGGGTGTGTGGGCAGGAGCAGGGCATGATTGATCTGCGGCCAGGGAAGGGCTAGGGTAAGGGCCTACGCAAGGAGGGGTGGGCTGAGCTGTGTAGCGAGGAGGGAGAAAGGACAGGCCTTCGTGCTAGACTAGACTTGGGGACAGACTGTGCACCAGCATCTATTGGATTCCTACTGCGTGCCAGGCTTATACTTCGCCTATTACTTGCATCGAATTACTGAACATTCACACGCCATCAGTTGGGGATCAGTATCATCCTCACTTTACAGATGAAGAAACTGAGGCTTAGAGAAGTCAAGACCCACATCCGAGTCCTCACAGCAAAAAGCAGTGAGGAAATGACAGCCAGGTCTGACCCCAAACGCTTGCTCTCCACATCTCCCGACCCTGCACCTGGGCAGTTTCCAATTGGTCTTTTGCTCAACAGCTCGTAAGGCCTCCCTTGGCCCTTGGGGGTAAAATCTGAACAGCGGAGTCTGGCATTCATGGCCCCTCCGGTATCTGGTGTATTAGATTTACACATAAGATCAGGCATCAAATCCTCTTCCTCTGTGGGCTGTAGAGTTAGACTTGTCATCAGCCCATTTTACTGATGGGGAAACTGAGACCCAGGGAAGTCTCCTGCCTCGTGAACCCTGTCCTTTCCACGAAGCCTGACCCCCAGGTGCCCCGACTCACCAGGCTTCTCCCGGCCCGTGCCCTTGCTTTCTGCAAACTTTCTCAGCAGCATTTCCACGCTGATGTTCTCTATATTTTGCTTAAACTCCTCGTGAACCTGGGCAGAGTGGGTGGGGTGTGTAACTGGGCAAGGCCAGGGACCTCTTGTTCAGCACCTCCACCCTCACGCCCCACCCCTGGCCCCACTCACCTGCCCGATCTGCACGTGCGTGTCCTCCACCGAGTGGGCGTAGGAGCCCAGCAGGGTCTTCATGTGCCGCAGGTGGGTCTCTTCCATGGTTTGGAAGTGCTGAGGCAGCAGGGGAGGGGCAAGCAGAAAGGGGAAGGCCACCAGGAGTTGCCCTGTGACTCAGCCTGATCAGTCAGAATATTTCAACCCCCTAGGCCCAGTGATTGGTTTGGGGAAGAGCCAAGGAGAGTCTGCCCTAGGTCTTTTGCTGGAACTATAGGGAAAAAACATTTTCTTATCCTGAGTCAATGAATTGGTGGGATGCGTGTGGAAGCTTGCTGGTGGCCGCTTTGCTGGACACACACACACACACACACACACACACACACACACGGGTGTGTTTGCTTGAGAATGAAGCCCCAGAGGGAAAAACAGTCTTGAAAAGGAGAGAGGCACAACTTCCTGCCAACACCATTCGAGCACCTGGATCCAGCCATGCCTGGAGCCCTCCCCTCCAACTTTTCTGTCCCGTGAGCCTGTAAATCTTCTTTGTCAGTTTGAATGAAGGTCTCTATCATTTGTAACTTTCCATCACTTGCAAAATCAGAAGAAAAAAAATCTGATTCCTAATCCTGAGATTCCAATCTGCTTTTCACACATTTGGATGGACAGAGACCCAGAGAGATACAGGATCTTGTAAAAAGTGACTTAGCTGGTGAGGAATGGAGGCTGGACCAGAACCCAAGCCTTTCAGCCACCATGAAATGCCAGGAGACTCTTAGAGTCTAAATCCTGCCCTATCTTGTTAAAAAAACAAAAAACCTCATCCTATTCTGTATAATAAAAGGGTAATATGCAAATTGACCCTAACTGCGGAATGACCGGGCACTATGACACACACTGAAAGGGGAGGGGGCAGACACTCAATGCAGGAGCTTCCCCCTGGTGGTCAGTGCACTCCCACAGGGGGAGCTCCGCTCAGCCACAAGCCGGGCTGACGGCTGCAAGTGCAGTGGTGGTGGAGGGAGCCTCTCCCGCCTCCTCGGCAGCACTAAGGATGTCCAACTGCAGCTTAGGCCTGCCATTCACTCCCCTCTGCTGGCTCCACATGCCCTAACCCTGAGATTACCATTTGCCTCCATCCTGTGATGACAATGGACCAACCCGGCCATCTGGTCGACCTCGCTTTGTTTGAGGGTTATACAAGCGGCCTCCAGGCAGGTGGCACATGACTTGTGAGCCAGAAAGGGACAGTTCGCATCATGACCACCCAGGTGGCAGGGACACAGGGCCGGGCCTAAGCTGGCAGGTGGACATCCCCTGAGGGGTCCTGGACTGTGAGAGGGCACAGGCCAGGCTGAGGGACACCCCCCGCCCCAGTGCATGAATTTTTGTGTACCAGGTCTCTAGTCAATAATAATATAAATAAAAATTATACCTCATAGAATGGTTTCTATGCACCTGGTACTAGTCTGAAAACTTCACATATAGTGACTCATTTAATCTTCACAACAACTCTATGAGGCAGGTACTATTACTGTTCCCATTTTACAGGTAGGAAAAACAAGGCACAAAAATTATTTGAGCCCTAGCTGGTTTGGCTCAGTGAATAGAACATCGGCCCTTGGACTGAAGGGTCCCGGATTCTGGTCAAGGGCACGTACTTTGAGTCTGCAGGCTGACACTCTATCCACTGAGCCAAACCGGTTAGGGAGGCAACCAATCGATGTGTAGCTTTCATATCTATGTTTCTCTCTATCTCTACCCCTCCCTTCCACTCGCTCTAAAAATCAATGAAAAATATCCTCAGATGAGGATGAACAAAAAAATAAAATAAAAAGTATTTGACTTTTGAAATAATAATAATAATGTCAACATTAACAAAAAAATAAAATAAAAAGTATTTGACTTTTGAAATAATAATAATAATAATGTCAACAACAACAATACTAGCTAACTGGCTCTAGCATTTGATGGCTTTATCCCTGTGACCGAGGCTCCTGGGAGTTGAGGGTGTGGGAGGTTCTGGCCTTCTGAGGCCCCTGGCCGGGGATGTGTGGTCTCTAAGGCACAGACCTCCGGTTCTTACCAGAGCCGAGTCCAGCATCTTCTGCTCGAAGTCAGCGCGGGCGGAGTTGTACTTCTCCACGGAGCGCCGCAGGCTCTCGGCCGCCTTCTTGGTCTTGGTCTCTGCCTGGGAGGCACAGAGAGGGGACAGGGTTGGGCGAGGACACCCAGGGAGCTTCCCCCCACCGTGCCCCCAGCAGGTGGACTTCTTGGGGTGCCCAGGGTCTGGGGACCACACTCAGGTTCAATAACCATAGCTCTGTGACATGTTTTCCCTCTCCCACCAGGCAGCCCTCACGCCTCGGCCAACTCCCCGGACCTGCGGACGTGGACTGGTGTGGGCTGGAGACTGGCAGCCGTGGGCTCACCTTGTCCATCTCCTTCTGGCTGGTGCTCTCCCTGCGCAGCCGCTCCTGGTCCATGCACCGGTTCAGGTAGTTCTCCCGGGACTTGGGCAGGAGCTGGCTGACGCCCGCGAGGACCTGCACAGCGTCCAGGGTGCCCCCTGCCTCCTCTTTCAGCTGCGAGGGAGGGGAAGGGGGAGCATGGGTGCCACCTGACACCCCTGGGTGCAGGACCTGAGCAGACCTCAGGTGCAGACCGTGAAGTTCCCAGCTTCCCAAACACTGTGGGATTCTCTGAGTATTATTTTAACATAAAAAACAGTCATGTTGCCCTAACCGGTTTGGCTCAGTGGATAGAGCGTCAGCCTGCGGACTGAGGGGTCCCAGGTTCGATTCCGGTCAAGGGCATGTACCGGAGGGGAAGGGGGAGCATGGGTGCCACCTGACACCCCTGGGTGCAGGACCTGAGCAGACCTCAGGTGCAGACCGTGAAGTTCCCAGCTTCCCAAACACTGTGGGATTCTCTGAGTATTATTTTAACATAAAAAACTGTCATGTTTAAAGTAGGTCATATAGCCAGAACCGGTTTGGCTCAGTGGATAGAGCGTCGGCCTGTGGACTGAAGGGTCCCGGGTTCGATTCCGGTCAAGGGCATGTACCTTGGTTGCGGGCACATCCCCAGTGTGGGGCGTGCAAGAGGCGGCTGATCGGTGTTTCTATCTCATCGATGTTTCTAACTTTCTATCCCTCTCCCTTCCTCTCTAGAAAATCAATAAAACATATTTTTTAAAAAATAATAAAGTAGGTCATATTTACACATAATTCAAAAAGTTTTAAGGGGTGAGCTCCCTAAAACCTCCCATACCCTGCCCTGGCTGAATAGCTCAGTTGGTGAGAACATCGTGCTGATACAGCAAGGTTGTGGGTTTGATCCCAGGTCAGGGCACATACAAGACCTAATGAATATATAAATACGTGGGACAACAAATCTCTCTCTCTCTCTCTCTCTCTCTCTCTCTCTCTCTCTCTCTCTCCTTTCTACTCTGTCTCTAAAAAATCAATAATAGCCTGACTGGTGTGGCTCAGTGGTGGAGCACTGACCTATGAACCAGGAGGTCAGGGTTCAATTCCCGGCCAGAGCACACACCCGGGTTACAGGCTCAATCCCCAGTGTGGGGCCTCCAGGAGGCAGCAGAGAGAGAGATCTATGATTCTCTCTCATCAGTGATGTTCCTATCTCTATCTCCCTCTCCCTCTCTGAAATCAATAAAAATAAAATATATATTTTTTAAAAATAAAAATTAAAAATAAAACAAAAAACCTTCCATTCCCTGATCCCCAGCCTCCCAGGCCTCTGCCAGGGGGCCCCCACTATTACCATCATAGGTCTCCAGAATTAATCAGCACATGGACGAGTAAATATGCCTGTTTTCACCCATTTTTTAAGGACAAATTGCAGCAGCCTGTGCTGTTTATCCCACTGGTTTTTCTACTTCATGGTCCATTCCCAAGATTGTTTCACATCAGCCCACAATTTTTTTAAAATTGTGGTAAAATACACATAATATAAGATTTACTATATTAACCATTTATAAGTATACAATATTGAGTACTACTACCAACTCCCCTATTTAACAGAGTTAAAAATGCAGGTTTGGGCTCTGTAGATGCCGAGCACCTATGAATTATCAGACGCTACTATTTTGGGATCCTGAGAGTCTAAGGCTTGACGCTTTCAAGATTCTAGGTTTGAAAGCGTCTAGACATGTCAGATAATAGCATCTGTAGGTGCTAACCGCCGAGATGAGAGGTTAGCAAGCTTTTTCTGTGAAGGGACAGACAGCAAATGGGTTTGCCTGTCATGGGCTCTCAACTCAAAAAAAGTCAGACTATTGTACACAAGTGGACATGGGTGTGTGCCAATGAAACTCGATTTACAGCCACTGAAACCTGAGTGTCATGTCGTTTTCACGTTTCACAAAATATTCTTCTCCTCCGGATCCCACCACCACCATTTAAGAATGTAATAACCAGCCCTAGCCGGCTTGGCTCAGTGGATAGAGCATCGGCCTGCGGACTGAAGGGTCCCAGGTTTGATTCCGGCCAAGGGCACATGCCTGGGTTGTGGCTCGATCCCCATTAGGGGGCATGCAGGAGGCAGCCGATCAATGATTCTCTCTCATCATTGCAGTTTCTATCTCTCTATCCCTCTCCCTTCCTCTCTAAAATCAATAAAAATATATTTAAAAAAATAAAAATAAAAATGTAATAACCATTCGAGCTCGTGGGCTGGACAAAACTTGGTGGCGCTGCATCGGCCCCCAGGCTGCAGCGCGCAGACTCTGCTCCAGGATTTTGAGTCTGAAATGTCTGACAGTTCCCTGGTCTGCGGGGTTCTGGGTTCGAAATTTCAGAATTCCCAGCATCTTCGGCGGCACAAGTGGAGGCTGGAGGTTTGCAGGCCTCAGAAGGCCTGGGCTCCTTTCAGCCGCCGGCGCCCCCTGCCCACCCCACTGGGCAGTGCCCGCCAGGCACACACCTTCTTGTGCATCTTGAGCTGCTCCTCGCTGTAGCGGAGCACGTCCTTGATGAGGTCCTGCAGCTTCCGGGTCAGCTCCAGGTGGCAGAGCGCCAGCTTGTCCGAGGAGACACGGAAGACCTCCCAGAGCGGGGCAAAGGTCCTGGAGACGGGCAGGGTCACACGCGGGGCCCCGCAGGCCCAGCACCCCTGGGTCCCCTCAGACGGCACAACTGGCATTGGCTCCGGCACCTACTGTGTGCCAGGCCCTGCTAAGCATCAACACACATTAACTCGTTTAATCCCCACGGCAACCATATAAGGCAGCTTGTGACAGATGGGGAAACTGAGGAACAGGAGGCTCCGTGACTCACGCGAGGCCCCACAGCGAATGAGCATCAGGGCTGGGATGTAAATTCAGGCCCTGAGGCCTGGAGTCCTCGCTCCAGGCCCCACCTGATACCCAAAGGCAGCTAGGACCCAACCAGCCCCAACCAAGTTCACGGGGCCTCCCTGCCTCAGCAGAATCCCCCTCCCGCTTCCCCCGCCTCCCCTCCCTCGGCCTCCCTTTCTGCCCCTGACAGAACTTTTGCCCCACAGCAGCCGCAGGGAACTTTGCAAATGTCAGTGGGACCACATCGCATCCTTGTTTAAAGTCACCTGTGCGTCAGGCCCCGTGTCCAACCCCCCATCTCATCTCCCGCTCACCCAGGCCCTGCAGCATACCAGCCTCTCTGCTCCTCCTTGAACATACAGGGCGTGGCTGCGTCAGGGCCTCTACCCTGGTCGAGCTGCCGGCCTGGGTCTCCGTCCCCAGACACTCATTCCCAGGGCTGACTCCTTCCCATTATTAAGGTCTCAGCTCATAGGACCGGAGGCCACCTCGGAGGAGGTGTCCAACCTCTCATGCTCTTATTTCATTGCCTTCCTAGCACTCTTAGCCCCGGGAAAGGACTGTTCATGTTTGTAGTTAACATTTGTCTTGTCACACATCCTAGATGTGCATGGCATGAACATAGCCTGCAGGTAACTGAGGATTTTATCTGTCTTGGTGACCACTGGGTTACTAGTGCCTCGAACAGTACCTGGCACACAGTAGGTACACAGTAAATATGTGTTAAATGAGTGAATGAGATAGTGAATGAATGAATGAATGAATGATATACCTTCCTCTGTCTGATTAGCCCCATAAGTGGGGGTATGACTCCCTATCCTACACAACACACCTGTGAAAAGATGTCCACCCCAGGGAAGGCTCCTGATGACCCCAGGGCCCCACAACCTTGGGGACCCCTACCCCACCATGGCCCACTCACCCCACGGGGGTCCCGTTGCTGGCCAGCTTGGAAAGTTTTGCCATCGCTTTCGAGTAGGTCTCCTCGATAGTGGCCCTGGATAGGAGGACAGGGAAAAGCTAGGGAAGGTTCTGGGCACCCATGGGAGATACCCTGGCCCCCCTGAGCCTCAGTTTTCCCACCTCCAACATCTGAGCAGTGGCTCTTAGTGAGGACAGTACCAGGAAATTCATGGGAGAGGTTTGTATCCTTAAATAATACATTTTACAACAATAGTAGTGGCAGTAGTAGCAACAGTAGCAGCAGCAGGTCAAAAAAATTTTGAGCACATACTGTAAATGCTGTATAATATAAATGAGAAAAACCATATAACGTTTATATGGTTTTTCTCGTTTAGTTGCAGCAAGCAAACTCATATCTCCTCCTTCCCTTTGGACAGACACCACTAAATGCCTACCTCATATCCACTCACTTTTTAAAATATATATTTAATATATATTTTATTGACTTTTTACAGAGAGGAAGGGAGAGGGATAGAGAGTTAGAAACATCGATGAGAGAGAAACATCGATCAGCTGCCTCCTGAACACTCCCTACTGGGGATGTGCCCGCAACCAAGGTACATGCCCTTGACCGGAATCGAACCTGGGACCCTTGAGTCTGCAGGCCGACGCTCTATCCACTGAGCCAAACCAGTCAGGGCTCCACTCACATTTTCATCTGGATTAATAGAACCTTAATTTTGTTTGGGGCAGCAATGAGCCCAGTTAAAACCAATTGCCCATGGGGGCCTCTTAGGAGAGAGGCATCCGTGGAGGACCACAGGGTGGAAGACCCACAAAACAGAGTGGCCTCTGTCCTGTACGGCAAGTCCCACCTGGCAGCCATGAAGAGAAATACTTGGTTATAATCCTTTGAACTCTGCCCGCATGTAACAGCACTCACTCCTGAGTGGCCAGGGAGCTGCTTTGCAATCTGATTTATTATGTTTTCTGGGATATTAACAGCAGAACACTTACACGGAAATGTAGACTATTTTATCGTATGTGTTTTCTTTGATCGTGCTTAGGGCACAAGATTGCGTTTTCAAATTCCCCTTTAGGTAGGTCATGTGTCTTCCCAGGAGGCGTGAGACACCTGGGGAAGGTTGTTTACAGATCATGGGGCTGAGAGTGTTGAGAAGACTAGTCTTGAGGGTCTTCAAGCAAGTGTGGTCCCTGGAGCCCACAGGGATCTGGACCTGAGGGGGCGGGGCCTGGGGTGGCGGTGAGCCGAGATGGGCGGGGGCACGAGGTAGGCCAGGCTGGGTGGACTGTGGGGCACGGCCAGCCGTGTGCAGGTGGGGGTGGGAGCCTCACCTCTCCCGGATGAATTCTGCCAGCTCCTTGGTGGAGATGGGGCCCTGCTTCATGTTGTGGTACAGAACCTCAAAGCCGTGGTTCTTCTCGCCCTGCAAAGACGAAGTGGAGACTGAGAAAAGGATGCAGAAAAAGCATCAGTGTTGTCCAGCAACAGGGCTTAAACGGAGGACCCAACCGGCAGAAGTCCATCCCCTTGGCTCTCGGGGATTGGTTCATTTACACACACCCACACAC